GATTATGTGCGAATTCTTACCTTATGTGTTGATTTGGTGAAATTGGCTTCAAACTCTCTCTTTCTCCTTTTCTCTTCCTTAGTCTCTAGAATACTCTCCCTCTCTCTCTCTCAGATTATATCTCTCGCTTTCTTGTTTGAGTTTAGCATATATATATATATATTATCTAATTTACTTAACTTGGCTTAAAGAAATTAAATTCACATCAATTAAATTAGGGTAAATTAAATTACTTCTATTTGTCTCCTAAGGTAATTAGACCTTACTTCATCTGGTTAAGGTGAATTAGGCTCTACTCACCTGGTTCATTATGTAATCTATAACCTTCCACTTTAACGAATTAGATATGTCTTTTTCATCAATTAACATATCTGTCAAGCCAAACCTAGTGCAAATGACACATAATTCACAATTAACTCACACAAAGGGGCATATAAGACAGAAAAGTCACATGTAGGCACACAAGTAAGATAAGCTGCAGAAGTAACTATTAATTATGAAAGCGGATGTTACAGTAATGATAATTTATTATTAGATATTATTTGTTATGATAGTTGTGATACAATTATGTGCTTTTATAGTAGTATTATTTTCTTTATGAAAATGTTACTCAGTCATAATAGATTTTTATCATATTCCAAATTATGGAGTAACATTTCAATTAAAAAAAAAGACGTAACATTATTATAAAAATACATTTAAAAAAAATTTAACACATAAATTTCACTTTAAAAATTGAGTTACAAGCAGGAAATAGTGGCTAGGGTAGTTGCAAATTGAGGGGAGAGTAATTAATGGTTGGTAAAGGAAAAGATATAAAAAAAAGAACAAATAGAGAGCAGTTTGGGCATTTCATTGTAAAAATTAACTATGTCTATTAAAAGGTTAACAGAAAGGAGTTGTTTGTATATTGTCAATTAAAATAAGAAAAATTAATATAATTTTCAAAATCTCAAACGTTGTTTTTATAATTATAAAAAATTTGAAGGAAAATAATTGTAATTTACCTGATCATAGTTAGTTGGCCGTAGTAGATCGAAGATGGTGGTAATAGATTTGAGGTTGGTAAAGACAAATCTAAGATTGCTTGTCTTCCATTTGAGATTGTTGATATGACAATGATTTAGACGATAACGGTAATGTTGGTCAAGCGAGAGAGAAAAATAACAAATATAAAATAGTAGATTTTATTAATAAATTTGATAACATTATTGATTTTTCCATTAAAGGGGTAAATCAATCCAAAAAAATAAAATTATAAAACAAAAGAATCTAAATTAAAAATATCTTTCATTAAAACTTCAATTATAAAAGAATTGTTGCAATAGATGTAATTTATATATGTTTTTTCTTTTTTGTCTGCAAACACAAAAGCTAAATACATTAAGCCATCTCCAACGCTGCACCAATTCATCACCAAATTTAAATTTGGTGAAAAAGTTCATTTTTTGCTGCTCTAATGGTTTCATCAAACCTATTTTTTGCTGCTCTAATGGTTTCATCAAACCTATATCAAATTGAGAATATCAAAAATGTTTCACCAAACAGAGGATGCTTTGTGCCTTTCATCAAATCACTGTTTATTACCGTTGTATTTTCACCACCGGATGTCCCTCCGAATGTTCTTTCTGGATGACCACCTCAAGACAAAATTTTTTGAAAATTTTATGCTGATTGATCAACCCCCCGGTCGACCCCTCAATAGGAGTCAAAGTAGCAGGTACCCTTTTCCTTGAGTGGTATTCGAAGCTTCTTTATAGCACCAGTTACAGGGGTTAGGGATATTAGCTTGAACATCACTACCTTGGGCATTTTCATTGACAATGAGAGAAGGATAATCCATTATCTGGAACCAAAATAGAAATAAATAAATACATAATCAAAAAATCGAAATGCTAAAATTCAAAAAACAACAATAACGTATGTACAAATTCAAAGAGCATGCATAATAGTAACTATATTTCACCACCAAAAAAGAGAAAACTATATGAAAATGATGTGTTTGTTTTTTTCTTTTTCATTTCCATTTTATTCAACAAACTAATTTTTTTATTTCTTTGAAAAAAGAAAAAGTAACAGAATTGGAAAACCAAACCAACGACGATGGGGCATTGGAAACAAAGAAGGGTAGTAGTTGTTACCGAATCAAAATGGTTTTAAGAATTAATAAGTTGTTACCGAATCAACGACGGGGCATTGGAAACAAAAAGGGCAGCAGCTCATAAGTTGTTAAAAAAGTCCTCACTGAAATAATAATATTATGCATATGGCATTTAGAAAATAGAGGGAACTGTAACAATTTGATTCCAGTACACATATTTAGGACTCAAAATGAGCATGGAATTTTCATTTCCACAGGATTTCTAGATTATATGACAAATATATTTGGGACCAAAGGTTTCATGAAGTAGTTTTTTACTGATCTTTATTTGCAAGAATGCCAAGTTAATTTTCTTTTTGTGTTTTTACGTGCTTTTTAGCCTAAGTTTAGTTTTATTTAATTATTTTTTTTTTGTTGCTCAGGATAATAAACAATGAATGCATGCTTTATTTCCTTCCCTCCTCCAATCTTTTTTTATCACACTCCAATTTTCGGCAAAAATTAATATTTGGTTGCGATGCTTATTTTTCATTGCCCATAAATATAATACAATTTTTGTCTGTAAATATCAAGTATGTCATTGTGTCAGACACTTCATATGCAAGATAATCTAGTGTTTTCAAACTCCTCCTCGGTCTGATGTCGTTAAAAGTTTGAAAAATGGAATATTAGTGAACCTTCTGGGTATGGGTGCTGCTATGCTTAGTGTGCAAGCCACGGTAGGATTGTTAGTTGCAAAAACATTAACTTATTCGGCCACTCCTTACTACCAAGGCTTCTCACCTGGTTACCGCCCTGTGAAAGCTCTTGATCGAAGAGAAGATCATCATTTTGGTCACAAATATTGTTCCTTATCCCATTGTGAAAATTTTACATTAGGTGGTTGACCGGTGGTTTGATAAAAAGTCAATCCTTCCATTGGAGCAGGCAATATCAAAGAGAGTTTTCACTCATATTTGATAAAAATAATAATGCACTGTTAGAGATGCCCTTACATAATTTTTTCATTAAACTTATTTTTGAAAAATCTTGCATTTCTATATTATAGTATGTGATGAATTTATTATGTTCCTAAATTTTTTTAATTTTGATTAATGGGAACAAAAAAAAACTTAGGTTGCGTTTGGTAGAATTTTGTAAATATAATTTGAGAGTATGAGTTGTATTTTGAGTTTGTGAGTTGTGCAATTATGATTTGAGTGTAGAAAATTTGTTTGGTTATGGTTTTTTAATAGAGTGTTGAATTGAGCGTGTAATTGAGTTTTGAAAGTTTGATTTGACATATGAAGTAAGAAAATTTGTTTGATTATGAGTTTTTAAAAGAGTTTTAAAAACTTAATTCAAATTGTTATAACTCATAACAAAATACACTACTTTTACATTATTGAAAATTCTGATCAACACTCATAACCAAACTCTTTTTAAAATTTAATTAAAAAAATTTATTATTAACAGAAAATAACATTAATCAATTTTTTTATTGAAAATACTACAAAGGAAATAATTTTTTTTTAAAAAATAAATATTCAAAAAATTTAAATCATAAATATTTAAATAATCTAAAAAATTTAATAAGTAAAAAATTAAAATAAATATTCAAAAAATTTAAATCGTAAAAATTTAAATAATTTAAATATTCAAAAAATTTAAATAATTTAAAATGTTAATATTTTAAATTTAAAAACAACTCTACACTCAAATCGCAACCAAACACATAAAACAAAACGCATAGAACAAATACGAAAACAAACAAAGCAAGTAAGATGCAATACTAACCAGAAGAAGAAGCAGGAAACTGAAGATGGAAGCAAAAGGCAAATATAACAACAAAAAATTAAAATATTTAAAAATATTTTTATAAAATAGAGTTTGAATTTATTTTTATAAAATATTTTAAAATTTTAAAAATTAAAATCGTAATATTTTGAAATTAAAATATTTAAAAATATTAAAAAAATTAAAAAAATCGTAAAATATTTAAATATTAAGATATTTAAAATTTTAACAAAATTAAAATATTTTTAAAATATTTCAAAAATTAAAATATTTGTTTAAATTGAGTTTTGAATTATGCGTTTGGTTATGAGTTTTGAAAAGTAATGATTATGTTTTAAATTGGGTTTTGAGAAATGAATATAAAATTATGATTTGAAAGGTCAAAACAAATAACACACTCAAATCAATAGGTGAAACTATAGTTTGAGAGGCTTACAAAACGAAACATTAAGGGTGTGTTTGGTTTGTATTTGTAAAGTAGTTTTTGAAATAAAAAGTTTAAAAACTTGTTTAATTTATCTTTTTTCAGAAATGATTTTAAAAAATTATTTTGAAGAGAGAGTTTTGAAAAAAAGTAATTGATTTGATATGTAAAGTGATTTTAAAAAGTAAGTAATCAAAAAAAATTTTAAATTCTTTTTTAAAAATTTATTTGATTTGATTAATCTTGAAAATTTATTTATAAAGAATTTTTTCCAAAAACTTTTCTGAAAACAAACCAAACAGGCCTAAATTTCTAGCAAGAATAAATGGAGCAACGATCTTCTAGAGTTTTTTTTTTGTTAAAGTTTTCTAGAGTAGTGCATTGTATGGTTGAGATTTAATGACAAGTCACATCAATTTTTCAGCATTAAATCTCAATCACATAATATAAACTTTAGGAAAAAAATACTCTATAGGATCTTTAGGGGAATGTGGTTTGACACGTAAGCCACAAAACGACAATCTTATTTGTGGCTGACGACAAGCTAGCGAGACTCTCTCAGCCAATCAGAACCCCCCAAACATCCCAACCCTCAATCTTAATTCTTGCCACGTGGCGCTCCCACTCACCAACCCTTTCTTTCTCATTTCTCATTTTTCATTTCCATTTTCATTTTCAATTTTATTTATTTAATTAATTGAACTCTCTTCTTCACCCTTCGCCCTCTTCTTCTCTGTAACACTCACTCTCTCTCTCTCTCTCTCTCTCTCTCATGAGAACCGGACTTTTTCCGGCTAGGGTTTGAGTATCGATCACTTCGAAAATGTCTGCCACTTCTCTCTCTACCTACACTTTGCCTGAACTCGCCTTTCTCCGCTCAGACTCCACTCGCAGGCTCAAAGTGTCTCTCTCTAGACTTCCTCTCTCTAAGCGCAATCGATCGAATCTGGTTTTTCGAACTCGAATCAGAGCTATTCAGAGAGATGAAGTCGTGTTCGAGGTTGAAGATGGAGAAAGTGCGGTGGTGAGTTCATTGAACGGTGTTGAATTCAATGGTAATGTTAATGGTACTGGTTATGGTTACACTGGAGTTGTCGAGGGGTACTCGAATGGAGGTACAAGTGTGATTGAGAGTGAGAATGGAGCGAGTAATGGGAGCTTAGCGAAGTACGTTAATGGAAATGGCGCTGCAACGAGAATTGCTGAAGCAGTTGTGGAATCGGAGTCTGAGCAGGTTGGGAGGAAGAAAACTATAGAGGAGATTGGACAAGAGGAGGCGTGGTTTAAACGGAGTGGACAAGTTGAGGTATTGAAGCTTATGCTTTGAACTTTTCCTTTTGCATTTGTTTATTTATTTGAGATTTTAGTGGTAGAATTGTCATAGGTTATTGAAATTCAGTCGGTTTGTAAAGTAATTAGAGAAAAGAATGGAGAAGTTATTCAATTTCTGTTGTGATACACCTTGGAACCATTTAGATTATGGCTAGCTCAAGCTTTTAAGCTTTGAATCCTCTACAAGATTATGAAAACTAGGTCACAATGTGGATATAGAATATTAGACAATAGGTTGATCAAATACTTGCTTGTATGTTCCTCAAATGCAAGCCAATTTTTTAAATAAATGATGATGGATTTTAGCTAGGGGAAATACTTTGAAAGAAATAAGTTACTGATACTAGTATTGAGCAATTTCTTATTATTAGAAATCTTTACAGTCTATAAATTAGGAAATGTGGTTATAATCTTATGCTTACAAAATTTAAGAGAGTAGAGAAAGACTATTTTACAGTTTATAAATTAGAGTTTTTAATTTAAGTTAATGTGGTTCAATTGGAAATAGTTGTCCAAATCAATGTGATGGACAAAAATGTCATTTTAAAATTTGAACAACTTAAATCATACAATCAAAACTCATTTTTCTTACTCATTATTTTGAAATGAGGGGTGGAGAAGAAAATGAGTGTTTGATTGTTGGGTATAAGTTGTCTAATATAGTGTTAGTGATAAGATGGGTGTTGTCCAAATTATAAAATTACCTTTTTTCAATTAAATTAGGTTTCCATCATGATTGATTTTGATAGGGGCTGTCTTTAATTGAACTATATGAATTTAAATTAGAAACTATAAGGGCTAGATAAAAGAAATTGATAGGAATGAAACTGAAAAAATGAGAATAGTGTAGGGGATAAAAGTGAAATTAACCCTTCAATTTATTGAAGTGATATTGGTTAGCATGTATATAAAATAAGTTAAAGATGTTTTCATTGTTTTTGTTGAGTTTATCCGAGGCCCCATGTTTTATAAATGCATGCTTTTGCTAATTTGTGTAATGAAAAAAATGATAACAAAAGTGGACAAACCCTTTACACTTAAAAGCCTCGAATCGTATAAGCTATATGTCCACGAGCATGTACAAATTACCATATATTGAACAAAAGACAAATACGAGATATTCTCTCTTATTGAGAAAATTTGGGAAGAGAATTTATTGATAAATGTGCTAAGAAGAGGGGAACTCACCTATATACATAAGATTTATATAATGTTATTTCCTAAGAAGTATAGACACGGACATGTGACACAATACGGACATGCAAACACACAAATTTTAAAAAATGTGGGACACGGCGCACAAGGGACACATGCAAAACATATAATTTTATATATTTATTATATCATATTTTTTTGTTATTTTATGTATTGACATATATTTATTTTCATCAAATTCATCAACCTTGGGTATGCTATTACTGTAAAAAGAAAACAAAAAAGAGAAGGGGACACAACATATCCCCAATGTGTCTGATTCCTCCAATGTGTTTGACGCGTGTTGTGTCCGTGTCCGACACATGTTGAACACTGGTATGTGGCCTTCAAAGAGGTGTCCATGTTTCATAGGATATGCTTCTATATTCCATCAAATGCCATCTGCATTATCTAAAAATTCCCAGAAATATCCACAAGTGATTCATTCTCCTTGTCAATGTAAAATGTAGCAAAATTAAAAACAAAAAAAAAGGCTCTTCATTTTATACATTGATGACTCTACTCTTCAAAAGAATTATTTCTTTCACCTTGTATGCACCAAATTAAGCATGACAGACAAGCCAAGCCTTCTTCATTCATTTAGAGAGCATGCCCCTTCTCTTAGTTTTGCAAGGATCAAAACTTTATTATAAAATTAAGGAGCTTCTACCACTACAAATATTCTAGACTTCATAGATAATGATCCAATAACCTGAAGGACCCATGAATCTTACAATAGCTCATGTCTAACAAATTTGGAATTAGCAAACTACCGATGCCCATGTTCATGCATGCATGCAGGTGAATGATTGGTGCTTGCATGAGACTAATAGTGTGTGTTGGTGTGAATATATACAAATATATGCTTGTATTTCTTATTACCTTTGTATGCCAAACTATCATCTTAATGGCAATGCATGATTTTACAGGTGTCTGTTACCCCTGGGGGCCGTTGGAATAGGTTCAAAACCTATTCAACAATACAAAGGACTTTGGAGATATGGGGATTTGTTCTAACTTTTATCTTTAAGGCTTGGTTGAACAATCAAAAATTTTCTTATCGAGGTTAGTTACTTCTATGAGAATGGGATTGGTTATACAGTTTACATGGGATTGGTTTTGGTCATGTAATAACGTTGCTTTATGGTAGTTAGCCTGCTAATTTTGCACTTGATATTGTCCATGTAACTATGCAAGTTAAAGGAAGTGTCTGATTAAATCAACTGTTTTGAGGGAAAGGTCACTGTTGTTCATGATGGATCTCTTGAATCTATAATTGGTTATAACTTATATGATGATTTAAATTGGAAAAAATTATCTGCTCGCTGGAGCACTCGTTATTCACTTAATAATTCACTGGAGAAAATTTGCTTATTAATTATCTGTTCACTGGAGCTGGTGGAGAAAATTCACCTACCTGAGGTTTTGATGTTCTCTTAAGTGGTTGAGTTTTATTTTACCGTTCAGTTTGATTATAGACATTTAAGTTTTAGCTTTGAAGTTAGATCAATGTGATTCATCTGAACTTTTTTCTGTGGTCTTATTGTTCTGCATACAACTTGGGGCCCTTGGTCTGTAATAACTGGTATTTTTATAAACCTCTTGACTTATTCTTTTCATCTTTTGAAGTGATGGTTCCGTATGTATCTCACTTGCTAAGACTTCGATTGCTTTAGACATTGCACAAGTTGGTGTTTATATTTTTGGTCAACATCTAATTTGTAGGATGTTAATATGCAGGTGGAGTGACAGAGGCGAAGAAAGTTCAACGGCGGAAAGCCCTTGCCAAGTGGTTAAAGGAAAATATTTTGAGATTAGGTCCTACATTCATTAAAATTGGCCAGCAGTTCTCCACAAGGGTGGACATTCTTGCTCAAGAATATGTTGATCAGTTGTCAGAACTTCAGGTTGAAGTTATTGTACTGGAAACATCATTGTTGAATCTTAGACACCATTGCTTACTTCAATATTTAGTATCCTTCCATATTCTTTTCTCATGAATGAATATAGCCAGAAGTATCATTCTCACATGTTTGTCGTGTTTCTGTGCTATTTTCCATGTAAGAAATGGGTTATCTACAGTATCTAGTTTAATTATCCGTTTAGCGGCTGCCAAGCATGGACGTTCTTATAATTTCTTGTCTTCTCTTTCCTGCTTCACCATCTACTATTTCTAAGCCGTTACTCTTTATCAATTGAATCAAGAACTACCTAAGAGTGAACATTTTCATTATTTAGGATTGATCGGCTGGGGAGATTGGAGCGGATGTAGTCCATAGAATTAAGGCGGGGTGGCTTAAGTGGAGGATTGCGTCTTGGGTACAAAACGAGTTCCCACTAAATTAAAAGGAAAGTTCTATAGAACGGCTATTAGACCACCGATGTTGTATGGGACGGAGTGTTGGGCACTACGAAACATGTAAATAAGATGAGTGTTACTGGGATGAGGATGTTAAGGTGGATGTGTGACAAGATTACAAAAGATAGAGTTAGAAATGAGTATATTTGTGAATGGGAAGGAGTAATACCTGATAGAAGATAAGTTAAGAGAGAATAGATTAAGATGGTTTGGTCATATATAACAGACACTAATAGAGGCAGTAGCTAAGAGATGCGATACAATAACGGTAGATGAAAGTGTTAGGGGATGAGGCAGACTTAGATTGACGTGGGCTAGTATAGTCAATAGAGATATGAATCTTCTTAATTTGATTAACCAAATGGCCACTGATAGAGTTGAGTGGAAAAGAAAGATTCGTGCAGCCGAACCCATTTGATGGGATTAAGGCTTGGTTTGGTTTAACAAAATAGAGAAGTTTTTTCTTTACCGTGTTCAAGTTCTGCACATCTTCAAAAGCCTTTAAACTCTGCAGTACTGTTTGTCTCTGTGATTCTTTCTGCTTAAACCTGAGTTAAATGCAGACCAAGACTAGAGCACTTCCCTCTCATCATTAATTTGTTTTATGCTGATGCATATCATGATGTATTGAGAATTTAAGATCTATCCACATCATGTAAGATAATTGAGGCTAAAAGGTGTTTGAATGGATGTGGAGGCTGTCCCTGTCTCTCTTTCTCTCTCTCTAGTTAAGAAATTAAATACATATGGGAGAAATATAGAGGCAGGAGGAGAAAGGAATGGAGAAGCTTTGATTGGAACATATAAGAACTCCAGGAAAAAAGGTGGTTAGTCATTGAAGGGATAAAATGTTATTAACCAGTCAGGGATGAATTTACTTTTCTTTTCCTAAAATGACTAAACTTTTTTCTTTTCTTTTTTTCCCTTTCTTTTTTGCATTTCATTCTATACATGGGTAGACAATTTTTTCTTCTTTTATTCCCTTCCTACTAGGTGAAATATTATCACATGCCAAGTAAAGAAAAGAATACAAGTTGATGATGCAGGATCAAGTACATGTTTTTCTCACTGTCTCTCCTGTTTCTATGCAGGATCAAGTTCCTCCGTTCCCATCAGACACCGCTATATCTATAGTTGAAGAGGAGCTTGGAGCCCCTGTAAATGATATATTTGAGCGGTTTGATTATGAGCCAATTGCTGCCGCTAGTCTTGGTAATCTTAATTGCATGTTGAAGCTGTATTAGAATTTATTCAATTAGCAAATGAAGTTTAGTGTTCTTGGTTGTGCTTGTTTTATCTAATAGGAAATGAAATGGAGATTACTTTGTTCTCTTTATGCAGGTCAGGTCCACCGTGCGAAACTGAAGGGGCAGGAAGTTGTTGTTAAAGTACAAAGGCCTGGTCTCAAGGATCTTTTTGATATTGATCTAAAGAACCTGAGGGTTAGTTTGCCGACATATTGAAATTATTTTTCTACTCCTCTCATTGCTTATTTTGTAGGAGTGACATTTTAAGTCATCATGCATTTGCCTTCTTTTAGCTCCAACTCTGCAGTATCATGCCTTGTATTCTTACATTTGCTAGGCAAGCTTAATAGATAGCATGCACACATGCTTTCAATATCATTTTCTTGTTAGGTTTAGGCTGCTTTTAATTAACTGAAAAGACAAGGAAAAGAAAACAAAAACCATTTTCTTTTTATAGAATGGTGTTCACCGGCCGTTGAAAAGTGTGGAATGTGGACCCCATCTTAACTGCTCTCTTGGAGGAAACATTTTAAATCCTTTCTTGTATAAAATATATGATTATGCATCACAGGAAGTTGAAAGTTAATTTTACGAACTTTACCTTGAACTAAATGGTTGATGGAATGTTGATTTTGCTATGATTTTTTTTTTTCTTTTCATTTTGTTTGCTTACATTACAATTAACTTTTTTGAAAACTACTTTTCTATGTGGAATTCCTGACAAATAAATAGAGCCTTAGTCTTCTATCCTACTTATGAAGTGTGATTATGCCGTAAATGGAAACTGAGATTCTGTGAGATTCTTCTCCTTCCATTATCCAATAATCATGCCTCTTGAATCATAATTGTTTCATTCAGGGTTTGGCTATTTTAATGTGCATTATTCTTTGTTGATTTGGTTATTCCAGGTGATAGCAGAATATCTTCAGAAGCTTGACCCCAAGTCAGATGGTGCAAAAAGGGATTGGGTTGCTATCTATGATGAGTGCGCAAATGTCTTATATCAGGTAATGGTTTCTCTTTATGCCACATTTTAACTAGACTTGAGACTAGTGAAAGTCAATTTAGTTCAATGATTTCTCAGTTTTCCATATTTAGCTTTTTAGGTTTTGACCAAATTCTAGTACATTATACTTATAGACTTGAAATAAGGGGCTGCCATGTTTTATTGAGAAGAAGGTTGACTATTCATAATCAATGGGTATACAATACCAAATAGAGGTGGAATGAAGATATCGAGGTGGATGGAAGAGCTAGATTTCCGTAGATGCAGCATTTGTGAGAAGCAAAGATATATTCTGCAATAGTGGCATTTGTAAGAAACTAGTGGTGGCATGGGGATGATAAAGGAAGTTAACTGAGATTTGGTTGTGCAACAAAGACAAAGGAGATGAACAAAACAATGTAGGTTAAGGTTGAAGGAGACCGTGAAGTTTATTGGCAAATATAATATATGACGCTAAGACAAGGTAAAAAATAAATTCGTGGAGCTGACTTCTTGTAGTTGGTAACTTGGTACAAGGGCTTCTTAGAGTTGAAGGATCTGGTCTGACTACCAACCAATCTTTGTATCCTTACATTGGCCACGGATATATTCGTAGGTTACCTTTGGACTGGTAGGAAGTATGCCTTAGCATGCCAGATTTGCTTTCTTTCTAGGTTCTCTGCTGGAATTGTTGGTGTGGTGCTATAGATTGATCACTATGTGTAAGGTTACCTGGTAAATACTGAGGCCTATTGCGCCTTCATGCAGAAGATTATGAATAAATTAACTAGAGGCAAGGAGCAATTTATGTTGTAAGTTGTAACTATAAGTTTTCTGACTGAAATTGTATATTAGTTTGAATTAATTGAACAAAGAATACATCACTTATATAGAACACTAATTTTTAAGCCTAAACGAATACATAACTGATATAGAATTCTAATACATCACTGATATAGAATTTTAATAGAACTCTAATTCCTAAGCCTAAAAGGAGAAAGGAGAAATTGAATATAGGCATATTCTCACACTCCCGTTCAAATTCAAGGTGTTTTAGCAGAAAACACTGAGAGTTTGTCAAGAAAAAACTAAAACCGAGCAATGGCGTGAGTCTTGGTGAAGAAGTCAACAAGTTGCAGAGTCGAAGAGACAAAAGGAAGCGAGATAAAGTCAGATTGCAGATTCTGACGTACGAAGAGACAATCAATCTTAATTTGCTTTGTTCGTTTATAGAAGACAGTGTTATGAGCAATTTGAATAGCACTTCAGTTGTCACAATAGAGAGAGGTCGGGGAAGACTGAGGGATGCCCAAATCAGATAAGAGACCACAAAGCCAGACAATTTCAACAGTAGCATGAGCCATAGCATGATACTCAGTTTTGGTAGTAGAACGGGTAGCAACAGTTTATTTCTTATTTTTTCATGAAATCAGGGAATCGCCAAGAAACATACAGAAACCAGAAGTAGATTTACGATCATTAACATCATCGCCCAATCAGCTTCAGCATCAGCATAAGCATAGGCCACCAAGTCTAAGGAAGAAGTAGAAGAGAATAGCAAGCCCTGAAAGATAGTACTGTGAAGATGGCGAAGAATCCGAATCAAAGCAACCCAATGTGTAGAGCAAGGAGCATAAACAAAATGACTAACCACATGGACAATATAGGCAAGATCAGGGCGAGTAACTGTCAGATAGACTAAGCAACTCACAAGCTCGCGATATAACGTAGGATCGTCCAGAGGAACACCATCAGTAGTGTTGAGCTTCACATTAAGCTTAATGGAGGTATCAGAAAGCTTAGTGTCAGTAAGACCGACACGACGGATAACCTCGTTAGCATACTTAGCCTGGGACAGAAAGTAATCCTTGGGAGAAGAAGCCACTTTAATATCAAAAAAATACCGCAATGGTCCCAAATCCTTCATTTCGAAGGTATGAAAGAGCTGTTACTTGACCTTAGAGATAGTAGAAGAGTCAGAGGCAGTGGTAGTGATGATCATATCATTCACATATAGTAAGAGAGCAACAAAACTAGCCGAGGTATGTCTGAAAAATAAAGCAGAGTCGGAAGCAGAAGGATGAAACTCAAGCTCGGTAATAGCAGTCTGAAAGCGATCATACCAAGCACAAGGAGATTGTTTCAGACCATACAGAGCACGTCGAAAACGACAAACCTGGCCAGATGAATGGTGAAAACCAGGGAGAGGATGCATGTAAACCTTCTTAGTGAGATGACCATTAAGAAAAGCATTCTTAACATCCATCTAATAAAGAGGCCAAGAACGAATAGCAACGACAGAGATCAAAGTATGAACAGTAGTCATCTTGGCAACAGGAGCAAATGTCTCCTCATAATCAATACTATACTCCTGGGAGAAACCTTTAGCAAATAGACAAACTTTGCAACGCTCAAGAGAACCATCAGAATGAGTCTTGACTTTGTAGACCCATTTGCAACCAACCAGATTCTTACCAACAGGTAAAGGAACCAACTCTTAAATACTAGTTTTCTGTAGAGCAAACAACTCATCCTCCATAGGTTGAACCCAATGAGGATCCTGACAGGCCTCCTTGTAAGACTGAGGTTCTACAAAAGAGTGAATAACAGATAAAAAAGTATGATAGAAAGCAGAAAAACATATATTAGACCAACCGAACCTGTTTGGAGAATGACGCGCCCGAGGAGGATATCGGTGTGCAGTAGGGTCAGAGTCGTCAGAAGCAGGTGGATCAGCAGCATGGGTAGAAACAATTAGTGGATGGGGAGCTTTGCGACGAGAATAAACTAACAACGGAGGAGGAGAAGAAGTCGGAGGAGGAGAAGATGGAACAAGCTCAGGAGGAACTGTGGAGATGTACTCATAAGATGGGATCTCAGAAGGAAATGGATTAATTTGAACCAAATCCTCTTTGGAAATTAGGGCAGTGAGAGGAGGAAGCTGAAAGTAAGGAACATGTTCGAGAAAAGCAACATGGCGGGAGACATAAAGGCGACGGAAAACAGGGTCATAGCAGCGATAACCTTTTTGAGTGAGACTATAACCCAAAAAGACACATAGGACAGACCGGACACTAAGTTTGTTCCTTTCTTTACGGGTAAAAGGACAAAACAAGCAGACCCAAATACACGAAGGAGTGAGTAATTAGGAAGTTAAGAAAATAGAGCCTTATAAGGAGACCGATCAGAAATAAGGAGGGTAGGCATATGGTTGAAAAGAAAAGTAGCAGTAAGAATTGCGTCACCCCAAAACGGAGCCGGAATGGAGGCAGAGAGGAGAGATCTAGTTGCCTCAAGGAGATGACGGTGTTTACGCTTAGCTTGACCATTTTGGGCAGGTGTATCAGTACAAGAAGTTTGGTGAATTGGCCAAATATTCACAGAATTCAGTTTTAAAGTATTCCACGTCCAAGTCAGACCGCAACAATTTAATAGTAGACCCAAACTGTGTAGTGACCATAGACTGAAAAGTACAGTATATCTAGTAGAAGTCAGATTTATGAGTCATAAGATAAATCAAAGTGTAACGAGTGCAATCATCAACAAAAGACACATAATATGCAGAACTTCCTTTAGTAAGAACAGGAAAATGTCCTTAGACATCAGTATGCATAAGAGAAAAAGGAGAAACAGAAATAGATTTACTTTTATTAAATGGTAAAGCTGACATTTTGGCAAGTTTACACCCCCAACATTCATCAATTTGATTAGGAGAAACTTTACATAACAACCCTGACTGAGTTAAAGACTGTAAACGGTCAACAAACAAATGATCGAGACGAGAATGCCATAAGTAAAATTGACTCGATTGAGAATCCAACGGAAACGAGGAAAGTGCGGCTGGAGAGGTGGATAAGGGGATATGCAAGCTTTCGAACACATAAAGATCTCCAACTCTACGGCCGGTCCCAATCTGTTTCTTGGACACTCGATCATGCACACAACAGACAGAAGAGGAAAATATAACATCAAAACCAGACGTATCAAGTTAACTGATAGATAATAAACGGATAGAAAACTGAGGGACATAAAGAATAGAAGGAATAGTAATAGCAGACATAGCAGAGGGTAAGATAGACTCAATACACAGAACAGACATATCAGACCCATTAGCAGTATTAATAGTAATAGGAACTGGTGGGGGACAGTTTTGAAGTAAGGAAATGTGAAGAGTCTTATGATGAGAAACACCTGAATAAAAAAGCCAAACATTAGAAGGGATACCTGAAGAGGACCCAAACAAACCTGAATGAAGAGAGGTAAGAGCGAAGGCAGATGGGGATGGCTGAGAGGTGGATAGGATATGCTGAAGTTGTGCAATCTGAGCACTCAAGGAAGCCAAGCCAGGATCAGGAGTTGGAGTAGATGCAATATAAGCAGCAGGAGGTCGGAAAGTATCCGGAATAGAATGGCAGAATTGTGTCAGAGCAGACTGACGTCCTTTCTTGGGATAGTTGTTCTTCCAATGACCCCTTTGATGGTAGAAAGCACACTCATCTGGACCTAATGGTCTTTTCTTGGATTTTGCAGTGGCCTGAAGCTGACAAGGAGGGGGAGTCGATAATAAAGGAGGCTTAGTAGGAGCCTAGAAGACAGATGGAGGCAGAGTCTGACTAGTTGTCTTAAGACGGGTTTTCTCAGAGAGGAGCTCACGAACAATAGCATCCACAGAGGGAAGATGAGACCGGTGAAGGATGCCACCTCGGATAGCCTCATGCTGAGGGGAAGGAGCCATTAAGAACTGCACTAAACGACCTTACTCCTGAAACTCAATATAAGCGTCCAGTATCTTGAGACTATGTGGTTCCATAAGAGCTAACTGATCCCAGAGACCTGTTATCTCAGTATAGAAGTCTTAAATAGTCTGATCTTGCTGACGAGCACTATGAATAGCTGTTTCCAACTCATACCGCTTGACAAAGTTGGACTGTTGATAAACACCTAGTAAATAATCCCTCACTTCCTTGGGAGTACTATACTTGGAAAACATTATTCCAATATAGTCATCAACAGAATTATGAAATTAGGTTAGAACTTGGACATTATCACAATTCTAAGTATCACAGGAAGTCAGATATCCTTCCACCATCGGGTCTGATGGACGACGAACAGAACCAAAAACATAGTCTCATTTTTTTTGACCAAGAAGAAAATTCTTTATAGCACTGGCCCAATAGGCATAATTGCCACCATTGAGTTTGCATTTGATGGCTTGAATTTTAGTGTCCGACATTGTAATAAAACACAAGTATGGGTCGAAGTGTAAAAACAAATTAGGGCTTCAAGTGTAAACACCCAAAACCAGCTGAATAAAAGAGAGAGCAGACGAGAGAGGGAGATACCACCGAGAGGGAGAGAGCAGACCTTTGCGAGAGAGGCAATCTCACGAAGCAAAGCTGAGCCAAAGAGAGGGACACCACCGAGAGAGAGAGAGAGAGAGAGCAGACCTTCGCGAGAGAGGCGATCTCACGAAGCGAAGTGGAGCTAGAGAGAGGGACACCACCGAGAGAGAGAGAGAGAGAGAGACATCGACTGAGAAGATCGGAGAGGAAGAAGAAGAAGACAAAGAAGATCGATGACGAAGAGCAGTGTGTACCTTAACGACGGGCGACGACGAGACACGAGTGACGACCAATGAGGAGAGACGATCGACGAGGAGCGACGACTGACAACGAGCGAAGACGAACGACGAGCAACCAAGTCCTCTCTTTCTCTCCCTTTCTCTTTTGTTCTCCCTTTCTATTCTGTGCTAATCAAATTAGGGCATATATTTCTGTTTTACTTATTTACAAATTGCCCCCAAAAAAGTCTTGTAAATTGTGAAATTACCTCGAACGTGTCCTGAAAGTGTCTATAACGTGTCCGGATGTAAAAAAATTTTTAAAAAAAGGGGACACTCTTTGCTGCGTGTCGGACACGTGTCCACCGTGTGTTCGACACGTGTCCACCGCGTGTCTGACACTGGTATGGAGCCCTCGGAGAGGTGTCCGTGCTTCATTGCTATTAATTTTTTTTTTTTTTTTTTTTTTTTTTTTTTTTTTTTTTTCTTGCGTCGACTTTATGTAGTAGTGCACGGTTTCTAGTTTGATAGTACAATGTTAAGATAGTAACATTAACTTTTCAGGAGATCGATTACACCAAGGAAGCTGCTAATGCAGAACTATTTGCAAATAACTTCAGAAACATGGATTATGTGAAAGTCCCATCAATATATTGGGAATACACCACACCACAGGTTTAGCCTTTGAGTTTTCATGCAATTATGGCAAGTGAATATTTAGATTTTTTAATTTAATCTCCTTGCTTGAATAGGTTTTACTTTTGGTTGTAGATTCTCACGATGGAGTATGTCCCAGGGATCAAAATAAATAGAATACAAGCGCTAGATCAGTTGGGCGTTGATCGTCAAAGGTAAATGTAACGGGTCCACTATTGATCTTGATGGAATCACGTACAATATTGACATCAATCCTTATCTTTTGAATTTTTGATCCATGACTTAATTTATCCTATGGCCTAAAATTAAATTCAATGCTGGTTCTATGGTCCCAGGTTGGGCCGGTATGCTGTTGAATCTTACTTGGAGCAGATTCTGTCTCATGGTTTCTTCCATGCTGATCCGGTGTGTTTTCTTACAGTTTTTTAAAATAATTTATTTAGTGCTAGAGCAGGTCCTATAAATATTGAGGTTTTAGTATTATCCAATAGGACATACTTGTGGAATTAAAAGTGGAGCCTGATTCAGTACTAATTTTACTAGCATATGCATGCTAATGTATATGAAGCTGAATATGCTGATAAAAAAAGGTAATTACACTTTACTCTACCCCCTTGAACTATTACTTAGTATCACCTTACCCCTTCAACTAAAAATGCTACACTTTGCCACTTTGAACTATCAATATGTATCTATGTAAACTTTCTATTAATGTTCTGTTATGTAAATGGAAAGAAAATTGACATGTGCCTTGTACATGACGTCGTTTGTTTCCCCCTTACATTCTTCTACTCCTAACAGCAACCATGGCAGCCATATGCAACCATAAAAGAGAGAGAGAGAAAAGAAGAGGAAGAGAAGAATGTCATTTTAATCATTTTACAATATTTGAGATGTGCAAGGCACATGTCAATTTTCCATCCATTTACGTAGCGGATAATTAACGGAAGGTTTACATTGATACAAATTGATAGTCAAGGTGGCAAAGTGTAGCAATTTTTAGTTGAGGGGGTAAAGTGATGCTGAGTGATAGTTCAAGGGGGTAAAGTTTTAATTTGAGTCCAGATCCTCTCCTTGGATCTCTCTACTTGGCTCCCTACTTGGTGGGCTATTGGGCCCACTTTTGGGCCCAATTTCGATGATTCGAACCATTTACATTTTAGGATTTGTTAAGTATATCATACCTGTAAAAAATCAAGTCGATGATCCGATCATGTGGTTTCTGATATCCGATCCACTTGATTTTTTATAGGTATGATATATTCGACAAATCCTATAATGTGAACGGTTCAGATCATCGAAATTGGGCCCAATGGTCCACCAAGTAGGGAGCCAAGTAGAGAGATCCAAGGAGAGGATCCTTGCTCGTGTAATTTGCCCCCCAAAAAGTATATAAATCTGAATACATGAGCTTCCATTGCATAGTTTAAAGGGCAAGCGTAGCCCGCATCTGTAGCCTTTCCTTGCTGAGAGAATGAAGGAAACACCCCATTCTCAGTTAAATAAATAAAGCTGGAAATTATTTGAAATTATTTATATTTTGATTATGTTTGCAGAATTAATCAGAAGCTTAATTTTCTTTCTGCAGCACCCTGGAAATATAGCTGTGGATGACGTTAATGGTGGAAGGCTGATCTTTTATGATTTTGGAATGATGGGAAGGTTCTTTTTCTAGACTTTATACTGCCTCTCTGCAACAAGTGTTGCAACACTACCATGGGAATTTCCTCTGACATTGTGTTGGCTTCTTGCAGTATAAGTCCCAACATCAGAGGAGGGCTGTTGGAGACATTCTATGGGGTTTATGAGAAGGATCCGGATAAGGTAATTTCTTCCTTGAATGTATTGACTTTAGTTACATAAATACTTATCTAATTTTGTGGTTTATTACATGAAGGACCTTAAGTTGTAATTTACTTACCACTGTAAGCTAATCTTTCATGCAGGTTCTTCAAGCAATGATTCAGATGGGTGTTCTTGTGCCTACTGGGGATATGACAGCTGTCAGACGAACAGCGCAGTTCTTCCTTAATAGGTGCTTCCTTAGTTGAAAATAACTCCTGTGGTTCCTTATCATCTTCAAGTGGAAGCTTGACTGAGGGCTGGCTACCAACAATTAGTGTCGTTCCCTTGTTCTCCACTCCATTCTTGTTTCATGGCCTTCCTTTGCTCTTTGGTTTTTAAGGCTGTTCAATCCAATGCAAAAAAGGGCCTCTTGGGACCCATTGTTTAACTAAGGGCATGAAGGTCAAGTTTAAAGGGGTAAACAAATAAAGTTATTTTGTGTTTAAGAACGTTGATGGCATGTTTGGAGAAAATTGCCACATTTTGGATGGCTACATTTGGAGCTTGTGATATTGGGCTTTGTGGATATGCTTTGGTCCTTAACTAGGCTTCCAGTACTAAATTATCCACTTTTTTTGAGAGATCTTCCATTTTAGTTTGATATTACCCAAATAATATAAGTCTGAGACTGCATGTAATGACTTTGGTTTATAGGAGCAGAGCTAGGGGTCATTTGGAACATTTTTGACTGTAGAATTCAGGTTGTGGTTTTGGCCTTGTACATCTTCTTCTAGTGTTGTGGTTGTTGGATAGCGTGACATACATTGGTGGGCCCACAACAACTTAGCTTTTGGGACTAGTGGTGATCCAACATGGTCTCAAAGATTAGGTTGGGTTTGGTCTGGTGTTTGAGTCTCTCCATTTGTATTTGTTCCTCATTTGCATTATGCTTTTCTCTATGCATGTCTTTTTACATTTCCATGTGCAAGATATGATTGCATGTGAGGGAGAGTGTTGGATGGTTTGATATTGTTGGATCTATTTCTTAATAGCTTAAGCTTTTGGGACTAGTGGTGATCTTAGAGTGGCATAGGTTTGAGTCATGGTAATCAGCTTCTCTACAAAAAAAGTAGGGGGGAGGCTGCATACCCACTACCTCTTCTAAACCTTGCTGTAAGTGGGAGACTTGTGCACTGGGTATGACATGGGTTGGTGCCTTCAAGGTTATGGTTTTGGTATATGCTTAATTGAAAGTGGTTCCTTATTGCAATCCTAAAAAGTCCTAAAATCCTTAAAAGTCTTATTTGTCTATGTAGCAAATTTAACGGGAAATGTTCACCTTCGGGGTAATTTTCTAACCACTTCACCCTAGTTGTACAGAGCAGGGGTAGGGGTGGGGGAGCAGTGGCACATAGAAGAGTAATGTTGGGAGTGCCTAGGGGAGTGTTTTACATTATACTAGCACCTAAATTGTTGAACATAAGCATAGTAAATTCTTATTACAAAAGCGGCAATTGATCACTAATAAATTAATAATATATATGATTACTCCGTAGTCCCCGTCTCAAATTAAAAGTCCTATAAAAAAATCTGCATCCTTCAATTTCTAAAAGGAAAGGAAAAATCTATGATAGATATCAGTTCTCTATAGATTTTCTTTGCCTAGATACTTTTTCTTTCATTTCTCTGGGATTCATATTTTTGAGTGGTCACATCTCATCCTAGTTTGAACTGCGATCCTATCTTGATAGGAATGTGGTTTTGATAAGATTCTTACTCTAAACTGCAGGATTATGGTTTTAGAGTTGAAACATCATTCCAGTTGGAGTTTCCAGCAACTAAGGCCCCACAAAAGAAAAAAAAAAAAAATAGGCAGGACTTCCAACCACACCTGTCAGGCTTTGACCTGTAGAAGAGAAGATTGAGTTATTTATATATGTTGAGAAATTTGTATAAACTGCGTCTCTCAGCACAAAGAAAAGAGAGAGAGATGACAACAGCAGAACTTGGATTCAAAAAGCCGCTGAGCAAGGAGGAGAGAATCGAGAAAAAGAAGCAGCGTCTCGCAGCAATAGGTAATTTGCTTGTATGTTTTAGTCTTTTGATATGGTTGTGGACTGAATTGATTTGATTGATTAAATTGAAATAAAACATTTATTTGACAAAGAATCGGTCTTTTAGAGTTAATACATTTTATTTATTTCTGCTTAGTATTTTGTATTATTTTATTTTATTTATATTTTTACCAAAGCAGAAGTGGGTCCTTACTGTATTGTTCCTGTTTAAAGTTGACGGGAATCTGAGCTTCTTTTCTTTTAGAGGAATAGATGTTTCAGGTTGTGTAATGTGCAAAAATAGGCAATTATTTACTATTCTGTGCTTTTATGTTTAACCTTTAAAATCTTGCGAGGAAGAGAACATTTGGTTTCTATTTGGCACCAATTATTACAATGTTAAGACACTTTTCACTAGCTTGCTATTAAATCTAAGATGTTTGCTAATCACAGCTGATTCATTCTCTTAACAGGAGAAGATTTATTAGCAATTGCAGCAGATCAGCCCTTCAGATTTCCTGCTACATTCACTTTTGTTGTTAGAGCATTTTCAGGTATTGCCCTAAAAATCTAGTCAAATCAATGCTCTATGTTGTACTTGGAGCAATAACCTCATAATAGTATGGTGTCATCTCCGTAGTGTTGGATGGCATTGGGAAAGGCCTTGACCCTCGTTTTGATATCACTGAAATTGCTAAACCGTGAGTGTACTTCAATCTGGGATAATTTTTTCAAAACGTCTGTTTTAAACTCTCAGATCTGGGGGCTAGTTGTCAGCTTCGTCTCTCTGATGTGTATTGCATGTTGTATCATGTAGTTATGCACTAGAATTGCTAAGGTTTCGCGAAGCTGGTGTTGAAGTTATCGTAAAGGCAGGCTTGTTGAACTTTGCTGTGTCTGGATTTTATGCAACATAATCACATGATACCTGTTTCACAGTTAATCTTATGAATATTTCAGGACTTCAGGAAGAGATGGGACCGTCAGTCTCGCGCATTTTACAACTTATTTAGACAGGCTGGTAGAGTTGAAAGGCTTGCTGAATTTGTTCAACGATTGGTAGTGATAGGATCTCTTTCACTTTGAATCTATGTGATTTAAATAGTCATAATTCTAATCAACTTTGCTCATATTAGATTGACATTGCACAACGGATTTTATTCTACAGGAGCAAGGTGATTTGAAGCTCCGAGTTCGAGCTTTAGAGTCTGAGAGGGCTTTCCAACGTGTTGCAGCTGTTCAAAAAACAATAGGAAGTGTGAGTTTGCTGGCCTAACATCTAGGCAAATACTATGTCACATCATTTCTTTGGAATTGTTTTGCTGATCAATGATTCTTGACAAATATCATTTTCTTTTCCTTGTGATCATGGTTTCTTGAAGCAAAAGAACTAGAATTTGTTAACATGAATAGCCATATATTTTGTTATGCTTTTCTTAAATAAAAATTTTAAAATATTTAAAGGCCTCCCTCTTTTCTTTTCCACACCAATCCTTATAATGAACTTATATCTCAACATCGTAGCCAACATTTTCTACACAACTTATCTTGGAGAGATCTTGTTGATGTCAATTTTAGAAGAGGAAAAATTAGGGTATGAGTGGTTTATCATACTCTTTTATATTAAATCATAAACATAAGTTAAGGCCTTAATAAAGGCCCATCACTGCAAATAAAGAGACTAAATGAGAATAGAATAGGAAAAATCCTAACACATTCTAACACTCCCCCTCAAGCTGGTGCGAAGATATCTCTCATGCCCAGCTTGTTGAGAATGTCATGGAATGGTTTAATCCCTAATCCTTTGGTAAGAACATCAGCCAATTGATCTCCAGACCGCACGAAAGGCGTACATATAGTGCCACTAGTAAACTTTTCCTTGATAAAATGCCGATCAATCTCCACATGCTTGGTCCGATCATGCTAAACCGGATTGTGGGCTATATTAATGGCAGCCTTATTGTCACAGGATACCCTCATAGAATCTGTCTGATGAATCCCCAAATCCCGCAATAATAACCTAATCCATAAAAGCTCACACACACCTTGACCCATAGCTATGAATTCGGCCTCTGCACTAGACCGCGCAACAGCATTTTGTTTCTTGCTTCTCCAAGTAACTAGATTTCCTCCAACGAAGGTACAATAGCCAGAGGTGGATCTTCTATCAGTTACTGAGCCAGCCTAATCAGCATCTGTATATGCCTCCACACCGAGATGACCATGCTTTAAGAAATAAAAGACCCTTTCCCGGAGAAGATTTCAAGTACCTCAGAATCCGCATAACCACCTCTAAGTGAGTTGTACGTGGAACATGCATAAACTGACTAACCATACTCACTGCAATAGTATTATCAGGCCGCGAATGGGATAAGTAAATAAGCTTACCCACTAGTCTCTGGTATCTCCCCTTGTCTACAGGCTCACCTCCTTGATCCTCACTAAGCTTTAGTCCAGGTTCTAATGGTGTATCACATGCTTTACTTCCAAGCATTCCCGTTTCTGTTAGCAAATCAAGCACATACTTTCGTTGACATATGAAGATACCATCTTCGGACCGAGCAACCTCAATGCCTAGAAAGTATTTCAAGTTGCCTAAGTCTTTGATTTCAAACTCATTAGCCAAATACTCCTTTAACCGAGGAACCTCCTTAACATCATCCCCTGGGAGTACAATATCATCCACATAGACAATGAGGGTTGTCGTTTTACCATGTGAGGAGTGTTTCACAAACAAAGTATAATCAGCTTGACTCTGTTTGAAACCATATCTCAGCATGGCCTAAGTAAACCTCTCAAACCAAACCCTAGGAGACTGCTTAAGGCCATAAAGTAACTTGCATAACCGGCACACCTTTCCTGTGGTTTTAACATCCTCAAAGCCTGGGGGAATGCCCATGTACACTTCTTCTGCCAGATCTCTATGGAGGAAAGCATTTTTCATATCAAATTGATGGAGAGGCCAGTCAAGATTAGAGGCAAGGGAGAGAAGGACTCTGACAGAATTCATCTTAGCAACTGGTGCAAATGTCTCCTGATAGTCTACTCCATAAGTCTGAGTAAAACCCTTGGCCACCAATCTAGCCTTGTAACGTTCAATTGAACCATCGGCTTTGTGCTTTACAGTGTACACCCACTTACATCCAACATATCGTTTGCCCTTAAGTAACTCAGCCAATTCCCAAGTGCCATTTTTAACAAGCGCTCTCATCTCCTCCATCATGGCATGCTTCCACTCAGGAGTAGAAAGAGCATCCTGAAAATTGGAAGGAAGACTCATGGAAGAAACTTTAGACAAAAAAACTTTATAGGAAGAAGACAGATTAGTGTAGGAGACAATGAAAAATAGGATGTTGAGTACACGACCTAACCCCCTTCCTTTTAGCAATGGGAATATCTAGATCAGAGAGAATTGAGTTACCTGGAGGTTCACCAGAAGGAGAGGATTCTGGACACTCATCAGAAGAAGAAGATAGCAGTGGAGAATCCGAATGGGTCTCTTGTACCCAAGTAACTTGTTTTCTATCCTTGTCCCTGACATAAACTTTGCCATCTTTCACTGTGGATTCAGACTCAACATTCTCAATATCAATAGCGGGGTCACCAGTAACATTCTCAACCTGCTCAATCACCGATGGTAGTGACACAGGAATCACTTCACACCAAGGCTCCCCCTAAAGGGAGCACTGGGACACCGAAGAGGGCAAGAAGTAGGACTGAGACTTAAAGAAAGACACATCCACAGAGACAAACCATTTTCGAGAGGGGGGATGATAACACTTGTAGCCCTTTTGTGTGGCAGAGTAATCCAGGAAGACACACCGAAGAGACCTAGGATCCAACTTACCACGGGAAGGAGAATGGTTATGAACAAAGCACACACCCAAAAATTTTGGGAGGAATGGAGAAACCAGACGAGTGGGACCCTAACAAAACCTGAAAAGGAGTGTGTATGTTGAGGACTTGGGTAGGCAAACGATTGATAAGGAAGGCTGCAGTAAGAATAGTTTCCCCCCAATATGATCTAGGAACACGCATTTCAAAAGACAGACAACGCGCAATATCAAGAAGATGGCAATTTTTACGCTCTGCAACACCATTTTGTTGAGGAGTATTGGTACAAGAAGTTTAGTGAATAATACCATGAGTGGCAAAATAGCTGGCAAGGCCAGAGTCAATATATTCCTCCCACCCCCATTATCAGAACGCAGAATTTTGACAACCGCTCCAAACTGAGTGCAAATCATTTTATGAAAATTTTGAAACACGAAAAAAACTTCACATTTGTCCTTCATAAGATACACCCTAGTGGTCCTAGAACAATCATCAATAAAGGTGACAAACCATCTTTGACCCTTTAAAGACACAAAACGAGAGGGATCCCATACATCAGAATGAATTAAAGAAAAATGAACTAAACTTTTATTAATAGGAGCAAAAGAAGTTTTGTGTTGTTTGCCAAGTTGACACGACTCACAATGAAACTCAGAAACATTATTTTTCAAAAAAAAACAGAGGGAAAAAGATGCTTAAGTAACAAAAAAGATGGATGTCCAAGACGGCGGTGCCACATCCAGATGTCTTCCTTTGTAGATGGAAACTGAATGGATAAGTGAGCCAGCTTGTCAGCTTGATCCAAGATATAGAGACAATTCTCGTGTCTACCACTGCCAATCATCTTCCTCGTGATAAGGTCCTGAAACAGACAATGACCAAGGAAAAAGGTCACATTACAATTTAAGTCCCGAGTAATACGACTCAAAGACAAAAGATTAACACTAAAATTGGGAACATGTAGGACAGAAGATAAAGGAAGAGAAGTAGTGGCATGAATTAAACCTTTCCCAGACACAGAAGAAATGGTACCATCATCAATACGAACTTTATTCTGCCTTGAAGAAGGGGTATACGCGGAGAACAAATCAGAAGAACCAAACATGTGGTCGGAAGCACCAGAATCGATAATCCAAGGTAACGTTTGATGAGAGAGGAAAGCACTTGTAAAAGAAGCTAAGTTACCTGACTGTGCAATATTACCTGAAGATGATCAAGACGCTTCCACCCATTGCTAAGGAAAGTAAAATACTGGAGAATAGTCACCTCACCCTGAACGGAACGGTCAATAGAGCGTTGCAACTCAAAAGTTTGTGAGAAATTACCTTTGCGGGAATACGTAATGGCCACAGCCTCCCAAATATCCTGTGCTGTGTCCATAGACAAGTATCCCTTACCGATCTTCGGAACCATGAGTGTATCAACCAACCCATGATAAGAGAATTGGTAATCTCCCACTGATCATAACCTGTATTAGTGATACTGGGAGCCTGAACACGCCCATCAACATATCCCATCTTCTTTTTGCTCTTAAAAAATATAGTCAAACTCTGCGACCACGTTAGATAGTTCTGACCATTAAAGAGAGAGGTGGTGATTTTTTGGCCAGGGTGGAGAGAATCGGTCATTGAAGTAGTCAAAACAGGACTCATGCCCTGTGTAGTAGGCTGCGAAGTAGTAGACTCACTAGTCAATTCGACCATAAAGACGTCGCGACGGAACCCTCACAAACACACCCAGAGTGAATCACAAACCCGAAAGATGGGAGAATATAATAAGAAATTTAAAAATAAATTTAAGAGAACATTATTATTATTATTATTTTTGTTTTGTTTTTTTGTTTTGTTTTTTGTTTAAGAAGACCGTCAGAGAGAGATTATGAAGAGAAGAAGATAGATAGAGAGAGACTTACATATTACGAAGACAGAGAGAGATGAAGACGAAAGAGTTACATGTAGAGACCGAGAGAGAGATGTCGACAAAGACAGACCACAGGGCTGGAGCAGGAAGGTTTCGACGAGCCCTAGGGGTTGCGCTTGTGCCTTCGACTGGAGTTAGGACTCCGACTGGGACTGTCGGAACTGTAGGTGCCTTCGACTGTTGCTATCGGAACCCTAGGTGGCTTCGCCTGGGGCTTGGAGGCTGTGGTGGTGGTTCTGTGGCTTCGCCTGGGGCTTTTGGGCTTTCGGTGGTGGTGCTGTGTTGATGTTGTGGTGGTACCGCTAGTTTAGTTTTTTTTTTTTTTCCTTCTAGTTTTGCTCTGATACCATGTCAATTTTATAAGAGGAAAAATTAGGGTATGAGTGGCTTATCATACCCTTTTATATTAAATCAGAAACATAAGTTAAGGCCTAAATAAAGGCCCATTACAGCAAATAACGAGACTAAATGAGAATAGGATAGGAAAAATCCTAACACATTCTAACAGTTGAATCAGTAATACAAGACAAACACACCCACAATCTTCCACTTCCCTCATGCTGTTGTGCTTGAAGTGCTTTGTCTTTGTCTTTCTTCTTCTTCGTCGTCCTCTTGTTTTCTGAAAGACCTCATGTGCATTTGTGTGGCACTTGCTTGCTTGCATTCTTCTGTCTACATATGTGCATCTTTGCTTGCATGCAAGTCTTGGCATCTACAAATGTACCCTGCATGCATGTATTTAGTTGTGTTGCTTTACACTTCATCATAATTTTGACTTTTCACATAGATTTATGCTTAAAAAACATAGTTTACCAATACTTCTGACTAATTTAGAAATAGAAATGATAGGTTAAGGTGTAAGTAATCGGAGCATCGATTATTATTTGGTTGCTTTATAATGTTTGACTTCATGATAAACATAAAAAAACTTCACTTATTTGGTAAGCCGGAAATGTCCCTGAATTTAAATTTTCACTTCAACTAATCAACAGGCAGTTGCTGCTGGAACCCTAATTAACCTTGGTACAATTTTGTATGTCAATTCAATCCGGGTAAGCTGTTAATGTTACTGTGTGTCTCAAATAATTTTGTTGTCCCTTTTTCTTAATTTGTAGTAATTTCTTTCCTCAAATGGCCCTAATTTTAGGTTCCTTCTATGATCGCATACATGGTATGTGCTGTTTTTGGCTTCCAAGTTCTTTTTGGCATTCTCAAGGTTAAAAAGTTAGATCAACGGGAGAGATTGATAACAGGAACTGCTTAAATAAATGGTGAGTAAATTTTTTTCATTTTTATTATATATAATTTTTTTTTCTTGCTTATTATATATCTCAATATTTTAGTTGCCGAACCCTATAGGATTTGCTGGGAGGCCACCCACCCAGCAGTCCATCTTCGGGGGCCAATATGGAGGACTTCCGTCCTCTGGTGTGTTGTACTCAAACTAACTTTGTATTAACTTTCTTATGGTATTAATCGGTTAATTTATATTTTATTATTGTTTTCACTGTGAAATTTTGTGTGTATCTTAGTATTTCTTGATTGCACAGGTGCAATACTTGGCCAATCCTCTCGTCTGGTGTATTGTAGATATAGAGGAGAGATTCAGATGATCATATGAAGTTCTACATTCAACTCAACCCTCTTGTTGTAGAAAAGAAAGCAGAAGAGCTTGATGCAAAGTTTTCCAGACTCAATGCGGGCCAAATATTCCAACTTTATTTATATCATCTGCACTGTTTGTAGAGTGATTAACAATCTTATCATGTTTATTTTCTTGCTTGAATATGTAGATAGGTTAGACGAGGCAATTTTTTTGACCCATATGAAACCACCCCTAATAGGGATATTTTGAAAATGAGATGATATGCCTTGAGGGTGTATTTTTCACAGCGGGCTATTTCATTCATTATTTTAGCCCCAATGTAGATTCATTGTTGTAATATAGTATGGTCATATTGGAATTGTGTGGCTTCCAACCTTTTTTGATGAGGTGGAATGCCCGTAAACCGTCTCTGACAGACCTTGTGAGAGAGATTGTATGTATTCATAAATCAACTTTGGGGAATGTTAGGATGGAATAATAGTATTCACAATGTCATGTCTTGTTAATAGTTAACTGAGGAATCTCTAATTCTTTCTCAGTCTGTTTATACATTTCATATATTGACAGAATTGCTTGTTTGATTCTGTTTTCGTTTTCATTTTCGTTTGTCATTTTGGTTTTCAGCTGCAGTGTCATTATTATAGGTGTTCCTTACATACATGTGAAGTAGTATATCTCAATCTTCTATCTCTTCCCATGTATTTTTCTATGTTAAAAAAGTTAAAATGGTTGCTGTGTAACTTCAATTTGTCTGTTTATCTTTTGTCTTTAAGCAAAAGAATGGAATATTAGTGTTTTGAGTCCCTTTTTTATCCACCATACTTTAGTGAAGCAGGTGAGCTGTAGCTTGGAAGTCTATCCTATGTGCTAACAAATTTAAATCTAAGCCAAGGGTGTATAGGTTGGAAGGTCACATCTAGTGCGTCTGTATATGCCTAGTTTAAAAAAATAGAACAAAGTGTTGTTTTCGTATGAACCAAGTTGTCAGATTAGATCATAACAAAAAAATATTTTATTTATAATCAACAAAATCAATTAGTTTATGTGAAAATATTTTTTAACATACAAAATTAACTAGTCTTACTAATGACACCGCAATTACTATGATCATCATTGTTATTGTCGTCGCGATCACTATTATTGTTGTCACCGCCATCACTATCGTTTTATACCACAATTACCATGCTTAGTGGTCGTGAAAACATCTGCGGGGCACTTTATCATAATTTCTTTTTTTTCTTTAAATCATATGTAGATTTTTCATTTAATCTCTGTATTTTTCTATTAATATTTTTGGTAAAAATATATCACTTCTATAGTTGTTTTTCTTTTTTTTTTATTTGGAGGGGGGATAGTCACTTCTATAGTTGTTTAACTTGGCATAAATCCAAACCGATTTTGTAATGCAGTTGTTATAACCCTTAAGCAATGTTCAATCATTTTCTTATAATTTTAGGCTAACTTCTTTACTTGTGCTCGCAAAAAAAGCATAGAGTCCCCATGTTGTTGAGTGCAAAGATGACAAGGTCTGTGGAGTTATTGGACTTAAGTAATTCAAATCAAGTGAAATGTAAAGTCGACAAGGCCACTGCTTTTGTGCTCCAAATTTTAACAAAATTTAGGATCTCTGGCTAATTTTAACTCTTATAGTATTAATAAGCTAAAAAATAATAGTCAAATCTAATTAATCTAAATTCACGATTTAAAGAAAAGGATCCTATAGATTATACAAGTTTCATTAGTAATATTATATTAAAAAATATGAAAAAAAAAAAAAAGTAATATAAGATCTTGGGTGTGGTCCAATAGTTTTGCTGCCACACCTTAGGGTTTAATGATAAGTTCTTTACTTGTAATTCAAGTAATAAAAACTTGATATTTTGGTGTAGTGGCGGAGAGGTGGCTGGGATGGGGGGATATTGTGTGTGTTTGTTTTGTTGTGGGACTCTTAAGGAGATAGAAGATGATGGGGTGGATTAGGTATAGTGACAACATTTTACACAATGGCATGACAAAATGTAATTGGCTATTTTTTTCCACTTTCTTTTGTTTTTGGTTTAGACTGTTTTGGTCACATTTTATAGATTACCCTTGGGTATGGGTCTGATTTGGATTGTGTTTGGATTGCCTATGACCTGTATTGTTTTTTTCACAAATTTTTCATTTTATCTCTGTATTTTTCTATTGATATTTTTGGTAAAAATATATTACTTCTATAGTTGTTTTTCTTTTTTTTATTTGGAGGGGGGATAGTCACTTCTATAGTTGTTTAACTTGGCATAAATCCAAACTGATTTTCTAATGCCGTTGTTATAACCCTTAAGCAATGTTCAATCATTTTCTTATAATTTTAGGCTAACTTCTTTACTTGTGCTCGCAAAAAAAGCATAGAGTCCCCATGTTGTTGAGTGCAAAGATGACAAGGTCTGTGGAGTTATTGGACTTAAGTAATTCAAATCAAGTGAAATGTAAAGTCGACAAGGCCACTGCTTTTGTGCTCCAAATTTTAACAAAATTTAGGATCTCTGGCTAATTTTAACTCTTATAGTATTAATAAGCTAAAAAATAATAGTCAAATCCAATTAATCTAAATCCACAATTTAAAGAAAAGGATCCTATAGATTATACAAGTTTCATTAGTAATATTATATTAAAAAATATGAAGAAAAAAAAAGAAGTAATATAAGACCTTGGGTGTGGTCCAATAGTTTTGCTGCCACACCTTTGGGTTTAATGATAAGTTCTTTACTTGTAATTCAAGTAATAAAAACTTGATATTTTGGTGTAGTGGCGGAGAGGTGGCTGGGATGGGGGGATATTGTGTGTGTTTGTTTTGTTGTGGGACTCTTAAGGAGATAGAAGATGATGGGGTGGATTAGGTATAGTGACAACATTTTACACAATGGCATGACAAAATGTAATTGGCTATTTTTTTCACTTTCTTTTGTTTTTGGTTTAGACTGTTTTGGTCACATTTTATAGATTACCCTTGGGTATGGGTCTGATTTGGATTGCCTATGACCTGTATTGTTTTTTTCACAAAATCATAATGGCAATTACAAATTGGATCAAAGTGGAAAATGTTGAATAGTTTAAGGAAGTATAGTAGCGAGATAAACTTTTTTAGAAAAAAAAATAAAAAATAAAAGTGAGAAAATATAGTATACTTATTGTTTGGATCTCGGATTTAAGAAGAAATTTAGAGAGGAAAAAGAAATAGAAAATAAAAAGTGAATAAAATTGAAAATAATAGAAAATGAGAATGAGTAAAATTGAAAATAAATCTTTTTATTTCTATTTTTCTTTTAGAAAAGACAAGGATTTAAAAATTTTGTCTAAAAATTTATCTAGAAATTAATCATATGGTCCAAATTCAACTCTTGTTAGTTTAATAGGATTCACATGTAAAATCTATCCTAGCCATACACTAACTTTTTTGGTTAATTTCTTAGACGAATTCTAAAACCCTAGCATAACTATTTTTAATTTTTTATTTATTTATAAATATCTTCTCAAAATTTGTGTCCAAAACATAACATGAGGAGTGAAAATGCAACTTACCCATGATTTAACTAGCATGCATGGTCATTTGACCAAAGCCATCATTGAAGTGCTTGGAGTTGGGAGCCAGGTTAGGTGAACCCAAATGAGATGACAAAATGTGTCATTATTATTAATGTTCAACAGATGCAGTACATGCGCTACAACCAAGAGGTATGTTGGAAGGATGATATTTTTAAACTCAATAAATTTGTTTTTTAATTTTATTTTGGAGACAAAATCTAATTTTCCTATTAGAGAACCACATGATGTGGTCAGGCAAACCACTGCATTTGACTTCATGGGCAACCAAATGTAATTGCTGTGAAGTTGCTTATATTAGGGATCCAATGAAATTATTTATTACTGACATTAACCCATGAAAACGAAAAGTAAAAGTAAAAGATAAAAAAAATTGAAAAACGTAAACACTTTTTATTAAATTTAATATATTTTAAAAATATTTTTTTACACATTTTTTAATATTAAATAATGTCTAAGAACATTTGTGAACATTTGTCATGAAAACAGAAAGGGTAATGCTATAATGTGTACCATATGCATCTTTTGTTACATCCCTTATAATATGTGTTTGATTATGACTTGTGATGATATTAATTATGACATATTGTGATATTAGTTATGACATTATTTTAGTTATGAACCATGAATTCTTTGATTATATTACATGTGATGTTTGGTTATAACTCAATTTTATTTTTTTTAATTACAATCCTTATAATATTAAGTTATGCCATTTGTAATAATTAAATGGCAAATTATACTAACGGTCCTTATAATTTAAGACTTGTATCACTTTGGTCATTAACTTTTCAATTGTGATACATTTAATTCTGAATTTTAAATCTTGTTCCAAATGAGAATGATTGAAGATACCATTGTTCAATTTCAAGGGCAAAATAATCAATTTGATAAAATATAAACTAATTTAACAAAAATAAATTTCAAAAAAATATTTTTGAATTTTTAAAAATTATTTCTACCCATTAAAAATAAAATTATGTAAAATTAATAAATTTTTTAGATATTTTTTGACCAAATTAATTTTTGTTATGTGTTTGGATGATGATCATGCAATGAGTGGTTATTTTTATTTTCATTAAATTAATTTTTATTTTTTCAAAAGTTAAATATAGCGACAACTTTGATATCATTATTAAACCAATCCCTTCAATCAAAAAATCTAAAACTAAAAATATTTTATATATTAAATATATCGATTACACATGAAAGCCTAATAACCTCCCATTATATGATTATCATCCAAACACATAATAAAAATGAATTTAATTAAAAAAAGAAAAATGTCCCGTAGCTCGAATAAGCTAAGCTTGAGAGACCCGAAAATTTTCTCTTTCCTCCCTTTCTGTTTCTTTTCGTCTCCTCCCCTCTCTATCTCTATTCTCATCACTCTCACCTCTCATCCTTCTCATCTCCATTATCACCAATTCCCTCTCTCTCTCCTCCACCACCACCACACTACAACCATTGTTGTATTTTTCATGATCAGAATCAAACCCAGTTGTTTGATCTTTCAAATTTGGAGAGAAAGTAGAGCTTCTCTCTCTAGAATCTAGAGAGAGAAAGCTCCCTCTCAGTTGAGCAATGGTGAGTTTTAGTGTAACAATGGTGAGATTTAGACTGAACCCATAGATTGAGTTTGTTTGGTCACTGAGTTGTTCTGTTGAAGTAAATCCATAGATTAGGTGTCTTCATGAGGGGTGGAATCTTAAAGGAGTGAGAATTTGTTTGGTCACTGAGTTGTTCTATTGAAGTAAATCCATAGATTGGGTGTCTTCATGTCTGGTGGTGTGCTTAGGTTCGGGATTCTAGGTGGACCATCGAGCCTCGGCCTCTCCGTCCATGGCGGTGGGTTGGATTGTGGTCACTTAGTTTTTCTTCTCCTCTCTTCCTCCTCTTTCTCTCATTCTCTTGCCTCTCTGTTTCTCTCTCTTCTCTC